GAGAGCGCTTAGTAATTGAAAAAGCTCCGTTCAAATAGAGAACATGGTACATCAAGGTTATTTAAACAGCAGTTTCCCAGATTTAGTCCATCATAGACTGTCATCTTGTAGCTAAGAACATGTTAAAAATGTTTCGAGAATATTGAAAGTGTGCAGCATAAAACATGTAGATAGAACAAGTGGTTGTAACTAATTCTTCGGATTGTACCTTAGGGATTGAAAACTGCACAGAAAACCGAAAAAAGTCGTCTGAGACGTCTATACAGAGTACACAGTTATATGCTGGTTGGCGTGGTCGAAAGGAAAAGAAAATAATTGCTAAATACTTAACACGTTGGAGACCGCGCATGTTTTACGTTTCTCGGCCGCCTGGGACTTCAGTGGATTTTTTAGAGTCTTTTTGAGCAAATTGAGAACAAAAACCTATTCAGTGATGTAGACGAAATCTTATTGCATGAAATGGGAAGAAGAAACAAAAGAAAAACTGAGTGCTTGTTTCCAAAATATGGGTCGTAGGGTACCACACGGTTGACAGACTGCAGCCCATATATGGGCTGCATGGGCTCCAAAGTATTAATATTGAACAAAATACAATACCTCGTCATCGTCGTACTCATCAGTGGGGAGAGGTGGAAGGCGCCGGCGATCCGGAAGCTCATCAACATCGATTACCTGGAATTTAGGTATAGCACTCCAATAGAGAAAAAGTGGAGCTACTGCAAAATTCCGTATCGAGATGATACGGTGGCGCGATCGAATTTGTGCATTTGGGCGATTTAAAGGGCTGAGTTCAAGTAGTCCGTCAACCATAGGCCAATAACTGATTTTAGACTTGGTCCCAAAGGCTTCGAACACAGGCGTGTTTCTTATGCTGCTGGCCTTCAATAGATTTCTCACCTCTTCACTGGCCTTTTTGGGGTCTTCCCTCAATATCGACTCCATGACCCTCTTTCGGAATTCTTTTTCGTATTTCTTGGCTTCCAAGGACTCGTAGGGTCGCCTCCAGTGGCACCTTCTACTGAAATCGGCTCCGTAGAAGAATTATGATTCAGCAACATTAAAAAGATGAAACTGGCGGAGCAAGAAAGAACTCTGAAAAATTTACTAGAAGTCGGAATTCTTCTCCGCATTTACTGCACCACACCATCCACAGATTGTGTCTCTCAGCGGTGTGCATGCTTTTCTGAAACAATCAGAGATCGCTCTTAGCAATAATTTCATGGCAAGATTATGAAAAGGGGAGCCTCCTACTAATGATCAACAGTCATGAAAACGTAAAGCATCCGATGATAATCAGTCTTTAATTGCAAAGCCCTATGCATGCTGCAGTACTCATAATTCAATAGGATTTGGATCATACAGTGAATTGCTGGAGTCGAACGATGGGCAATTAAGAAAGAAAAACCATTATAAACAAAATAATTAAAACGGTTCGTTTCGCTCCTTCCTCAGACGAACCTTATTATTTCGTCAATCCCCGGAGCTCATCAGTGAGTTGGGATTGGCGAAATAAAGACACAGGGGAAAGACGAATAAACCTTGAGTAGACGTACAAAATTATCATGCAGAGGAGCATGCAATGAAATTAATTGTATATTGACTAAAGTGATTATAAATTGACAAGTATATGTAAAAACTTTTATGAAATTAAAAAGGTGGAAATGTTTGTAGCTGTCCACTGAATTAAGCATAAGCTATTGATTGAGTATTCCTTTAACTAGTTTATTAACATTTTTATAATTATTAGCCATTGAGAATTTATAGCATATAAACTTATTTTTATAAATACACTTAACTATATTAGATATAATAAAGTCCTCATGATAACCATTTCCTAGTAACACTCGTTATGAACTCTGTTAGTTTATCAGTAAATGTGTCAAATACGGAACAAGTGTTAGCTATTCTGAGTGTTTCAGTGTATATAACGGAGCCTTTATTATTTATGGAGATATTTGTGTCATTATGTGGGAATCTAATAACCTTGAACTGAAAGTCATCCGTCTTGTTATAATCTAGTCATAACTCTATTATTTATTATACTTATTGTTAAATCCAGATAATTACTAGATGTTTCACTTAAATGTGTTTTCTTCAATTCAAGTGTATTCATATACACTTCTGCTAGTGAATGTCAATGTCATCTTCGGTTTGGTTATGTATCACTAGCAAATCATCCATATATCTGTATGGGATGAAGACTCTATTTTTATCAAACCTATTCTTTATTGCATAATTGTTATTAAGTCAGTGTTTTGTCCCATGAGACACATCTGGTGCCGACGATTCCGGACAAAAAAAAATCTGAGCGTGGTTCTACCGGGGGTCTATTCGTGGCTATCAGGGTTCAACTCTGAACAGGCGTAATGTATTGCGTCAATTCTCACTACACTGTTCCGTCAGATAGCACTAATATTTCTCGATACTATCTTGCTCCCATTGAATTCTTCAACACACGCATTCCTCTTTTGTATCTTTACTGACACTAATAGGAGCACTTAGATATGCAAGTGTCATCCAAAACGTGCTGAATTATTAGCGGAGCGAGTGACTGGGTCAATCCTGGCCCTAGTCTTTTCGACACTCTGCTTATCCATTGAACCTAGGGGGGGGGGGAGAGAAGCTCACCGGCGGCGCGCTGGTGACGTCAAAATGACGTCACAGCTACGGCAGGCTCGAAGGAAGAGCAAGCAGTGGCTAGCGCCGCTGCCGTATAAATGGCGCTGCAGGAGTTATACCAAATTATCCACAGTTGTGCCGCGAGCGAAATGATTGCGTTAGGGACAGGTATTATCCTCGCAATTGGCATTATGATTTAAAGAAAACGTAGAGAAGGTTGAGACTTTTATTTGAAAACCCTTAGGAGTACCCAGTCATGTTGAAATTGATTGAATCAAGTCCGTTCTTCGATACAATTCCTACTCATTTCTACTTAGTACACAGCGACACAGCGAAAATAAGGACGCGATAGATGCTCGAACTCCTCAATGCATCAAAGTATTGATGGTAGAGCCGCTGTGACGTCACCAACACGGAACGCGTCCGCGCCGCCGGTGAACTTTTCTATGGAGCCTTGAACCTAGCGCCACAGATGCGTTCCCTAGGTTTTCCCTATGTTTTAATCGCCTGCATCGCACTATGCTAAGCGGGCATCGGTACAAGACACTGAACGGGCAAAACATGTTGGTGATTCCCGTATTCTTTTCAATAGAAATGATCTAAAATGAATGTGACATGTTGCAATTTGTACCCTCAAAGCGACTATGTCAATTCCAGAATTAGTGATGGTTCCGCGAGTTTCTCAGCAGGTTAAGTGTAATGCAGAAATCGAGAATCGTAAGTCATAGCAGTTTGACTTTCAAATAACTGCTACAATACTAAGGAATAGTAAGCGAGAAAGTGAGTCGGTCAGAAACTGGTAACTGAAGTTGAATTTTGTTCATTTCGGAGATCATGTACATAAATACCTTGTCGTTCAGTGGTTTTTGAAGGGCGCGGTGGCAGCGTACACAATACCGAATGCGCTTATATAAAGGCGATAATGGTTCATGGCTGTGCGTCCATTTGCCAAAACTACGAATACCGAGTTTTTGTGGAGGACCAATCAGCTTATTTGCTCGTCTCCATTATATGTGATGCAGGACTTGTGAACGGTATTGAACGGTATACGGTGGCAATATACGATACTTCCTGATGATAATCTTTCAAATTTGATCACTTTTCTAAGATTCCAGAATTTTTTGAAAATTTTGAGCTCCCTTTCGACTTCAGATTCAGAAAATTATGCACGTTGATTTTTATAATTGATACTTGGGCCCCTCAAATCCTACCAGTGGCCTAAAGAAACTTCAAGAAGCTGGGGACCAACACTGGGCCCAAACCGCTCAAGATCGTCAAAAATGGAGGGAAGCGTGTGCTCGCCGCTGAAAATCATCGGCCGACAACGAGCATCCAGGTATCCAAGTGTCCAAGTGATTGATGCTTGGATTCAATCCTAGTGGTCATATCTATTTGGGGACTGGTAATATTGTAGGAATAAGTACATGAATCTAAATTGTGACACGCAATGTAAAGGCGATATTTAAAAATGAGTACGCTTAGGCCGGGGAAATTTTCTTTAAGCTGCGCCACGCATCTCAATTCCATAACGAATCCTGGCTCTTGAAGGCTAGTTTGAACGTTAAGTAGTAAAGAAAACACACACACAATACCATGAAATGCAGGAGCTAGCCGACGAGCAGGCTTGCGGTTTTCATACCAGGCGGGTGTTGGCAAATATCTGATCTCAAAAGAAAAGGTATGGAAGGCTTGAGCTTGGCAGGGCGCAAAATCTCGTTTGTCTGCGCTGCTTGTCAATGTCCCACCTTAGCCCAATATGGCTTGTTACAGGGTAACCATCAAATTTTAATTTTATGTCCCGCAAATATCGGCTCTCAGGAAATAGGTTACCTCTCATAGTGGGAGTTCTTGCACTCGGTGCACGGTTCACACGTCTCTGTTTCCTCGTCGTAGAACTCGTGCTGAAATGGAAAATTGTCTTGACTCGTGTTATGATTGACAGTCATTGATGGAGGGGTGATCACACGGCCGTAAAGTGCCTGTTTTGCAGCTCATCAGATGACATGCAAAGCATGGCGTTATCAATGGTCCGAAGTTCTTGTTGACGATCACTTCATAACGACACTACATTGATTGCTTCCATAAACACTACGAAAGCCACTCAGCAAGAAACGACAATGTGATTATTTCGTTGAAAAATCAGAAATGGAGTGATTTTTACGTAAAGAATGTAATGACAATACCTCAGCACATTGTTCGAATACATCGCCGAGTTTGACGCTGATCTGAATCATCCATGAATAATTGTTTTATAAAACGGAATAGCAACGTGTGAAAGAAGAATCTACACGTGTACTATACAGTCTACTATACAGAAGCAACTGCTCAGTGAAATGTAGCGGTAGCAAGAAATGACTGAGTAACATAGAAACGGAACGGTTGCGGTAGATGACTTACGGCGTTGGCATTGACGATAATGGCGATGAAGAGTGCCGTCAGAATCCACATCCTCATGGCTGCCTCCAGAAGCGTCGTCTATCTGTCGTCGTCACTTATATGTGACTGATATCACAGAATTCAAAGTGATAACACTCGCCGTCCGAACGCTGCTGCCGCGTCGGCGACTGTCGAATCATCGAAAAACGTCAAAAATAGCAAAGCGTCGCAGATTGAATCATTGTGAGTTGGTAATACTTAACACTCGTACTAGTAAGTGTAACGGCCACCAGAATCATCAGGGATGTCACATATTTATCGGACTTCTTTTATTTTGCCCCTGACATCTTTAACCCGCGAGGCATCTAAGCGCGAGTAAGCCCTAAATAGGTGGCAACACTCGAAGGGAATTATTTTGCTCAAATACTTGTGTTAGCCGTTCATATAACAAAAGTGGAGCGGACGCGGCAAAGTGGCATGTGGCACTGCTTACGCGCGCGGTCAGGAGTTCAAATCCTGGGTCGTGAGTCGCCCGGGCCAACCAAGCCTTCCATCCCTCCGGGGTCGGTTATTTGTTATTGGTACCAGACTTGTCTGGGAGGATAAAAAACACTGACTTGTACATCGGCTGGCCCCCGCAAGTCATTGTATAGGCAAATTCACCTGCCGCTACGGTTCTGAATGAAAGTGGAATGCGTGGCGCATCCTAAAACGCGATGATCAACTCTGAATGCTCCATTCTTTATGCCAATTGCTATTCAGGTAAATAAATAGATAATAATATAAATTAACTGGGAAAATAATTTGCGCATAGGACGAGGATGGTGTGGTGGAAAATGGAGCTATGAACTTGTAGTGCGCATGGTCCTCGGGTCAAATCCTAGCCCGAATCACGCCCAGGTTAATCGTGCTTTCCATATTTTTGGAGTAGGCTAAACAGAATCATATTTGACAGGAGACTAGAAACAGCACACGTACACCAGCTGAAACTCCCTAGGTGGCCAAATTGCTTTTCAACACCATTACGAATCAAAGTATGATAGAATGCGTGGCACATCCCAAAAGGGATCGATCAATGTTGATTGATTTGTCCCTTTGACACGTGTACAAAAGAGAAGTGCTCCGGAAAAATTGGCAACTTATGCCAGGATTGCGAGAAATCAGCTACCTTACAGCTTGAATCACACATTTTCGAAATAGTTTGAATCAGGAAACTACCAGAATTTGAAATCCAAAAGACACAAAATTACATCTAATCGAAGTGAAATGATGAAACGGAATAATTTGACAAAAGAACTGCACATGTCTTCATCCCACACATTACAACACCTACATAAATAGTCATAGATCGAATGCTCCACTTGTTATTCGTTAATTTGACATTATAAGCTATCTTTTAGTTTAGTTAGTTATAAGTTATAGTTGCCATTAATCTCTGCACATTTCTGTGAGGTAATTTTCGGAGTCCAGGTGAGCACCTGGACACATCGATTTAGCTGATCTTGATTAAGCGAAGTTTGCTTTGCCGCTGTGCTCCTTCTTTGCACTTGCTTCAAATTATCCTGGGGAATTACGCCTTGAGAATTTTGAGGATGAGCCACGCGTCGAGAAAAAATGGCTGTGAGGATCTTGAACCCAACCCTCACTCCCTGTCTGGCGAAAAGTTTTCAACGTTGACTCACAGTGTACCTCGAACATCCCACCTTTTCCTATTACCCTGGGACTTGCTCTATCTGACGCTTGCACCCAGCACCAGAACACGTCTCCCACGTTCTCTTACATAGATCTTGCTCAGATCCTTTCTCAACTTCTCCTGTAGCCATTATAACAATTCAGAATAAAATAATGTTGCAAAGTTTGAAGGCAAACACCAGGAGGATTATATAGGTACCATGGTAGTACTGAAGCTGGCGGTCTTGACGAAATAAGTTCTTACGAAAATTAGCTTTGAGTGCCTACAATTTACACACTACAGCGATCAAAAGTTTGGAAACGTTTTTATTTTTACCCAGATGGGCTGCCCAAAGTCCACAGAATACCTGTAAAAGCAAACAGAAAATCCAGCACCAAGAAAGCAATGTAAAGCATCATTTGGCAAAAAGCAAAGGCTTAGTTGGAAATTACAATTTTTTGAAGGGCCCTCTAAAGCTTGGAAACGTTACAGTTCCAGAGGAAATTCAACGCAATCGCTCTCGTATGCATATGAGAAATTTGTAATTTGTTAGGTAGCTATAAAATTCGATGATGTCATCGTTCTTTACTGGGAGTGAATCGATTAGAACACTATTTCCGATCACACGGCCGAACCTTACGTTAGATCACACCTTGTGGCGGAATTCGTAGCTGAAATTTAAGTACAACGCTCGAGAGCAAACTCGAGGCGCGCAGTACAGTTGAGACCAAATCTTGATTTGGTTACTTCCTCATAGCAATTTTGCCCGAGTCGAGGAAGCCGCAATGGAGAGGAATGGCTCACACCGGATCATTGTTGTGATAGAGAACCCATTTTAGGTCTGTTCTGCCAAGAAAAAAAATCATTCTATTCCAAAAACTTCCTTTATTATTTCCGAGTGACATTTATATTAAATGGAAGGTTGTCGCATGGTCCGACGCATCTTTATCTATGACGCTACCTCCACTTCACTATACTGTCGGAAACTGACACTTCCTGTTGGAGTTTCTGCTGACAGGGGATTTTGACAACTTCACTCTACGACTCTAAGAAAGCAGAGACCCGACGCCACTAAACAGAACTTTTCCGCGGCAACCTTTTGGTCCAAGCTAGCCGTAAACGCGCGAAGGTAGCCGGGAATTTGCTTATAACGCATTGACAACAGTGAGACGCGTGCGCCTCTAACCCTTGACAGCTGCTGAACCTGCTTGTATCAGGCGTAAAGGGGAGGCTAGGGTCGGCGACGCTACGCGCAGTTCAAATACGTTCTCTGATGAAGGTAGTGTAGACCAGCTCACTCCAGTTTCCATGCATCTCAGTTGCCTTCTCCTACTTGCCAGTTCCCTGAGCTGCTACTATATTATATCTCCCCTTGCTTTGCGGCCCCTTATTTTGCGCTAATGTTGTCACTGTCACGCTCAGAGGGCGATCCTCCCTCCCAACTCCCATTGAACTCCTGTTTCATTTCAGTGTCGACTTCCAAGAAACGCAGCTACGCAGCTTGCGCGTCTCAAAAACCGCGCATGCCGAATTGCTTGTGTCTCATGTGGCCAAAAGAGCCAAAGTACCCGCTGTCGTCAATGTGTTGAACTCAACAGAGACCTTTACAGCAGCATCTTCCACAATGTCCGCTAGATTCCGGCCGTGCTTAATTTTGACTTTTGCTCGAATCCGAGGGAAGCCCAACATGAAGAAGTCGTTTCTTATTCGAGATGGCGAGAGATTGAGGAGCCGAGCGCTACTCATAGTCTAAAACCAGGTTGTGTCCTCACGAAGCTGTTAAGCAAGAAAGACGTCCATTTGATGCTCTTGAATGTGATTACGCCAAACCTTGGTAGTAGCGCTTTCTGCAAGATTATCCCTTTAGATGTTTTTAACATATTAGACTGTATAATTTAGGGGAACCCCTCCTATTGTGCTTCTATCGCATGTATCTTCCTTACATGCAGAAACTACGGAACATTCAGTAATCAAACTTAATATCAACAAAAAACGTGTAAAAGTTACCACGATTCAGAAATCATAATAGTGGTGGAATCATGCAGTTTCCGGAAACTTGACGTTTCATTCCCCGAAATCGTATTCTCCGATCCTTCATTTCGAGAAATCACATCACGCACGTGTTTCCCGCTTGATTTTGGATTTAATCTGTGATTTGGGTTAATTTTTCCCCGCTGGCCGCGCTAGAACAAAACGAAGAAGTTTCCAAGCTTTCGACAGTCGCTGTACAGATTCAAGAGAGCGTCACCATGAGTAATCAAATCTAAATACATAAATTGGTTCGTATTCTTGCTTACAAAATCCCACATCTTTCATTTTGCACAGTAAACAAATAGATATTTGAGCCAATTCATTCGCAAGATGTTCTATCGTTTTTATTTCTTTAGTGTAAATATTCAAGCATAGACGCTCTCTAGGCTGTCCTGCAAAACTTCTCAGCAATTATTTTGCACCTAATTTTGAAGCAACTTCAATAAAGAGCCATAGAACAACCCTGCTCGAGCACAACTTTGAGGGGTTTATGGAGTCCCCTCCAGCACCAGAATGGCACGTTCATCATTGATGTAGATGAGACTCACCGTTAGCACTAATTGAAGTTCAAGAAAGCCTGTGTACATATTAGAATCAGACGAGCTACACTAACAGTAGGAAAAACAATGGATGGGAGGTAAACATAATGCATGAGCGAGAGCCAAATCCTTCTGAAGCCAGACGACGTGTAGAAAGGCATTTTTCGGAGCTTCGAGAATGTTTATGTTTGACTCCTATATAGGCAACAGGAAATACAAGACGACTCCAGTGTTATAACTCAGCTCGACTGTGCGATAGAGTCTGGTCTACAACGCCTAACTCATGAAGAACGATCATGCAGAAATCGGACGCTTCCGACTTTGGAAGGAATGCAAACGTTTGTTCATCAGCTAAACCACTGGAAAGTTAAATAAACAGCATCATGGGTGAAGCTGTTTTCCTGCTTCTCTTCTTCGATCTATCGTATTTCATAGTCACTCTCATCTTTTTAGAACCATTCAAAAAACCTTGGAGCTAAATGCTCATTGCTCATGTGAATCTTTCAGCCTAGAGGTGTTAAACTCAATGTTTTTGCCAGTACTTATGTAAGCACCGATCACCTAAAGTCCAACCGATTCCTCGTTGACTTTCACACCTCCACTGGAAACAAAAACGAAGGCCAAAAGGTTGGCCAATGAAAAAAAAATCGGCGCGAGTCCCTTCAGAATGTGCCACATATCTGGGCTCAATTCAAAATCATTGAGGTTTTGTGCGCACACATGGTCCGTACAGGGATAGGCATAGATATCATTTCACATCAGCGAAATTTCCAGAATGCCGCTGTTATGAACGCTTTACGGCGAAATATCCCTTAGGCGTCCCTCCCCTCCCCCCC